GAATATTCAAAGCTGACTGCTGACGTTTTCCCTAATTGGGGAGTCACTATAATAAGCATAACATAAATGAGAATAATATTTTTATTCAAATTCAAAGCCTAAATACATCTCTTTTGAATAATCGAACGGATTTTTCTATACATCCTTTCAGGACTTTTCTTTGAAAAAGAACGAAGAACGCAGGAAGCGCGACAACATTGGAACTTTTTCTTTATCGAGTTATAAAAATGTCAATAAGTACACGTTGTATTCATTTTTTTTTATGCTAAATAGGCAATGCGTTTGACCACAATCTCACCTGATGGAAAGCGATGATGAGGCCTAGGATGGTACACGCCTGCCTAGAAGATGCCTGTTCACTCTGGCCTTGAAGATGTCCAGGTTATATTGGTCCGGGAAAACAGACCTCGGCAAGGAGGAGGAGATTCACACTCTTAATATTATAAATGCGATTGTTTACATATTTGTTACCCAATCATAAAAATATTATAGTATGTTACACTTTTTACATTTTTTAGTAAGTTTAAAAAAAACCCAAAAGTCGGTTATTTTGATTTCTCAAAGTGAATACAAATACACAGTCAAGTCATAAGTATTGGCACACAGTAAAATTTTGTCTTTTAGAATGCTGGTCACAAAAAAAATATTGAATTCGAATTTCGAATTGTTCATGAAAATAAAAATGTATACTTTTTAGAATTTTACTCTTTTTTAAATTGGAGTGGACGCTTAAAGTAGACCTTGTTGCAGTTATTGCCTTGCGTCGTTGCGGTCACTCGTCAATTCAAATTTTTGACATACTGAAAAATTTAAATATAACCAAAAGATTCGTTTATCGTACCATCAAATGATACAACTCTAGTGTAGATGACAGGTCAAGAAGTGATCGCCCTCGGTCTGTTAGGACTCCAGCAGTGATAAATGCTGTGAAGGCGCGAATTCAAAGAAATCCCAAACGTAAGCAGAAACTGTTGGCGCCTCAGATGGGGTTAGCAGAACCACGGTGAAAAGGGTGTTAAATGAAGACTTAGGGCTTCGGGCATATCGATGAAAAACAGGACATCGTTTGAATGGACCTGAGACTGAAGAGATGCCGCACTTTGTTGAAGCGGTACGCGAGAAAAAAATATGGGGAAATTCTTTTTCCGGATGAAAAAAATTTTACCGTAGAAGAGAGCTACAACAAACAAAATGATAAGGTGTACGCACACAGTAGTGAAGAAGCGAGCAACCGTATTCCGCGTGTCCAATGAGGTCATTTTCCATTCTTGCTCATGGTATGGTTGGGAGTTTCTTATTGGGGCTTAACAGAGGTACATTTTTGTAAGAAAGGTGTAAAAACGAATGTAGTTGTGTATCAAAATACAGTCCTGACGAACCTTGTGGAACCTGTTTCTTATACCATGTTCAATAACAGGCACTGGGTATTCCAGTAAGATTCGGCGCCAGCTCATGAAAATAGAGCACATAAGTCTGGCTAGAGGCGCGTGAAATCGACTTCATCCAGCACGAAGACTGGCCCTCCTCCAGTCCAGATTTGAGGCCGTTAGATTACAAGATATGGCAACACTTGGAGGAAAAGGCGTGCTCAAAGCCTCATCCCAATTTGGAGTCACTCAAGACATCCTTGATTAAGGCAGCCGCCGATATTGACATGGACCTCGTTAGTGCTGTGATAGACGACTGGCCGCGCAGATTGAAGACCTGTATTCAAAATCACGGAGGTCATTTTGAATAAACTTTATTGTCATAAGAATCTATGTTTTTTACAATTTGACAACGTCTTTTTGCGATAGGAGTTGTGTTTCCGAAAATTTAAATTTTCTGAGAAAAAATCCATTTGTGGTATACTATCAGAAAAATGATGTACCAAAGAACAAAAAGCGCACCAAACCTATTTAAAAATCAACTTTTTGAAGGGAGATTTTCCGGTCGGCCTTTGTGTTTCATAGAACCGCCTCACGCGGCGTGAACGACGGATCCGCCTCGCGAGTGACGGTGCACGCTCGATTGTCTGTCTTCTGTGTTCTCGTCTGCGTTATATTTTAAATAGGTAGTTATTTAGTTATTAAAAATAATTATCTATTATCGGCTGTTCACCCGCGCAATCGGAATCGTACTGGCGGCGCCGCGCGGCACTGGCTTCTCGCGGGTCCCGCGACGGGTTGAACAGGTTCCACGACGGAGCACGGAGAGGATCTCCGCGACGGACGCCGCGCCAAAAAGCTTTACTTTAAACCGTCTACCGAGTTAAGCTTCATGAAGTTTTTTTAAATTATAAGGAAACCATAACTTATTTAAAAATAAATACAATTTGCATTAAAGTCATTACTTAAACATCGATATTTTCCGCTTACATTTGGGGTATTCCTAACCGAACACCTGATCTGTCACCTGGATGGTCAGTTAGGTATAAATATTCCCAAGAGTTCACATTGTCCACCTGGGTAGTAAGTGAGGAATCAAAGGTACCTACTAACTGAACACCTATATGCAATCTTTACTGTTCAGGTATCGATACCACCGAATAAGAAGTTCTTGGTCATCACGCAGCTTTATAATCTCTTATATAAAATTCTCGTGTCGCGGTGTTTGTGGTTAAACTCCTCCGAAACGGCTCGACAGCAGCATTAGTAAATACATATAACCCTGAATTTTCAACCCTTTAAAATCAACCCCTATTTTACCATCGCGATTTTTATTTTTAATAATTTCTTTTTTTTCTCAATTCAATTTGATCTTCGGCCTTCACCGGTCGATAACCGATCAACGATCAATCGATCAGTTATCCCCGCTAGATGTCTACCTGGGTCACCTCTCATCCAGCATCACGGAGTAGGGATGAGAAGGAAGCCGGTCTCCTGTCTTCCTCAATATACAGTTTTCGGCCATTTTTTTTTGATTTCATTTGTGTATCGATCGTAGCAGTGACTTATACGTATTATTTTAATTTTTCTGTGCATCTATTACGTTAATTTTACTCTCATAGTGAATTTATTATTAATTTCCAGTGCAATAATTATTTTTTCACATTTTATTAATAACTGATAAAGGTCACAATGTTAGTTACCATTCTCCTCCGAAACGAAAACGGTTTTTTTTTATGAAATTTTATATGCATATTCCGTGGGTCTGAGAATCGGCTACTATCTATTTTTCATATCCTTAAGTGATAATGGTTGTCCACCTGTAACGTAGTGTTCTGAAACCTGCTTTTGCGCCTTCGCGCCAAAATTCAAACTATTAGGTATTGTAACGTAGTGTTCTCATATGGGTTAGGAGGAATGTTATTTTGGACAATATTTTTTTTTATAATGTGGTATTAAAAACACATACAACCCTAAATTTTCTCTTCTACCACCTGCCCCTTTTTTTAAGGCGGTACGAAGTTCGCTGGGTCAGCTAGTATTAGTATAGAATACTACTTTTACGAGTATATACAAGTATTATTTTTAATTTTACAATAATAAATATATACAGATTTGGAAATAGCCTAAAAGACGATAGGATATTTTTTCAGTAAAATTTTCTTAAGGTTTTTAACTTTAGAAGGTAGATTTATACCAACAATTTAACTAAAAAAACTTTTCTTTCACATGTTCGTAATTTAATATGTTAGTACTTGGCTTCATTGGTTAATTACATTAAATCGAAACTATAATTATGATTGTAAAAAGATTCTTTTCATTGTGTAAGTACATAAGAGAGCTATTGAAAGACGATAACAAAATATACTTAATAATACATGTGTCTAATGGCTGTGATTATTTTGACGATATCCCTGGAGCAGAGCCGTGTTACAAAAACAACATTAGCTAAATTATTATACGATCTACACAAATTACCTTCAGATTAGGTAACTGTTATTAAGTATTTCCAAAATCTAATATATACAAATGAAATAGTCTTGCATTCGTTGTTCTATAAATTGTTTAGGGTCATTAAATAATAATAAAATTACAATTTGCACTCACCCCTCCCCCTTCCCTAAAGTTAGTAAATATAGGCCAGAAACTAATTTCTTTATAATGGCTATTGTCACCCCGGGAAGGGTTTTCCGATTTGGAGATGTTTGGGGCTAATTCGGGGCCGAATATTTAGAAGCGTAGAAAATGATCCCTCTATTTTCGCACCCATTTTTATAGGAAGAGTTGCCAGAATTTTCAGCAAATGGACAAAACCCCTAAATATTATCACGCTAATATTATAATATTATAAAGGCGAAAGTTTGTGAGTGTGTATGTTTGTTACTTCTTCACGTCGAAACAGCTGGTGAGATTTTAATAAAATTTGATATGGAGTTAGCTGATACTCTGGATTAACAAATACGTTATACTGCAGGAGAATATCCCTAATCCCACAGCTAGCTAATTTAATAAAGTTTAAAAAAATATCTTTTTATTTGGATAGAGATCATCGTCGCAAACTGATTTGACATCGTAGTTCATAAAAGCACTATATCAAAACATATAATGCATCGCGGCTAGGGGAAGATATTTGCTTTTTTGTTTTGTAAATTATTACAAGACTAATTGTATTTTTACTTTAAGCATTTAATTGCTAGATGAATTGAAATCTAAAGAAAATTTTTAATATATATAATTTCACGCGGAACAGGCAGCAGACGGGACTCGAAACCGCATCCTACGCAATCCCTTATTTTTATTAGATTTTTTTTTAATTTTACGTGTAAAATTTGGGAGGTGTTTTATACCTTTGTTATTACCATGGCACCCGCCCTCTTTGGACCGCGCCAAGGTAGGTAGTACTTAATAATAAATCAACTTATTAATCTCGAGCTCCCCCATGGTTCAGATAGCATAAGTCATCTGTACCGGCTGCAATTGCAGTACTTTTAACCCACCAATTCGCTCAGGCTCGCTTGCAGGGTCATGGCCCTGGCCCCATTTTCCCATTCCATCGGGTAGGGAAGGCATCGAGGAAGGAAGCGTGAGCAGTGGGAATACACATAGGCTAATGATGAAATTCAAAGAACTCACTGCGCAGTGCGCTCTTGGCCAACATTTTTAAGCGAGTCCAGCATCATCAGTGCATGCTTTCGATCTTCGATAAGAGCATCTCTCTTGGCGCTGTTCACAGCAAGCTGCATCATAAGTCGTTCCGTCTGGTAAGTTTGCTCCTTTAATCTGTGACAGTAACAAATAATGACTAAATAATTTAATTTAAGACATGTATTATTACATAGCTTTAAATATGGAGCCACAGTGGACCCTTAATCATCTAATGTTTCCTTATCAATTTCTCTTATTAAGCTTCATCTAAAGGTGTAGTAAATTTTATCTGTGTAAGGCCTTCAATGTTGCAACTACAAGAGTCACGACCCTGCGTTCCTTACAATAAATAAAAAAGGAACCTACCCATCCTCTATTCAAGAAAAAACGAATATTTCTCACCTAAGTAAATCAGAAAAGTCATGTGAATAATAACTAATACTAATAAAAACCCGTTACCCAGTTGCAAATTTATATCTTTATTTAATTGCCAGAGTTGGACAACGAAAATTAAGTAAATCTTTAGTTATTCTATAATATAGGTACAGCGCATTCGGTCTGCGATTGTGAAAGTTAAGCAACTTTCGCAATGGTCGGTCATTGGATAGAGGACCAAACACTTATTCCGTCGTGCTTCGGAAGGCACGTTAAGCCGTTGATCCTGGCTGCAGCATCCACCACAAACTTATCCTTAGTAATATTATAAAGTTATATTTGCGTAGTGAGTCACGGCCCACTCGCCCTATTCCACCAGAGGGATCATTAACAATAAATTTGGGGACATCAATAGGCTGCTGATGATACAGTATCTCTGAGGTGGAAGTAAAATCACCTCATCAATATTTGATCGATTGCAGAGACCAGGGTTGATTTCTGAAGACGTTTGCAAATACCCATGACTTCCTCAAGCTCCCAGTGCACTGAATGGTGACTCCCTACATCATCATCCTCATATAAATCGTCCAGATTTGTAGCTTCCTGTGCGAAAAACAATTATTTGATACATTTTAAAACATTTATTTTGAATAGTGAATATGTAATTTTGGGTCTCAAGATAATTTTGCTACAAAAAATATCACGGCCCAGGTAGGTATCAGATTGTAGAAATATTTTTTTAGTATTTCAATTATACCAATTACGGGTTGTTGTAAATTCGTCACAAAGTTGATATGTCACATTTTTGGTTACTCTATACATTGACCCCCTCATTAATAAACGAGGAATAAGCTAAGACTAGTTACGCCGTATTTTATATATTATTATTAGGTTATTTCGCTTAACTCCAAGCCTTTGTTTTCAAAACTTTAATTATTCGTCAAATGCAAATAACTTCATAAAAATTGAACTGTGGCGTAATAATACATACTTTTTTCTTGACAAATTTACTTTGTGGTGAATGTACTAAAACACCCTATAAAAATGACTTCAATAATATAATTAATTTGTCCAAAATGGCAGATTTTTTTTTTGGTCTATAGGACATTTTTTAAGCTGGTATACGCTGATAAACACCAATTGTTTTCTTCTTAACTTTTAATGAGAACTTTGGTTTTGTTCCACTTTTCACTAATGCCACATTTAATTAAAAGCTTATAAATATGGAACAGCAGCTTTTCATAATTTAACTTATGAGCGAGGATATCACTGTGGCTTTAAAAGTTTGATTGAATGAATAAAAATAATTTTAATTTTATCCGAGGGTCATTTTGTCGAAAAAATCTCTAATGCACATTACGACCTCCGAGATGGAGTGGTATATACATACATATCCCAGGTTCAAATCCCGGTAGAGCAAATGATTAATATGAGCATTATTTTGTACTTTATTCATGACTGAATATTTATATGTATCATTTAAAAAAATCTAGTATTCCATGACATCAGCCTTACAATGCTTACTTCGGGACTAGGATTGGTAGGTATGAGTGTAAAAAATATTGATTTATTTAGGTGCCAGCGGAACCCACAGCTACGTAGCTGTGGGTGTCATAACTGATAAAAATATAATAAAAAATCTTAAGATCCACTGCAGCGCCAACTGTTAGAGTTGTAAGTTAAGTTCCCAATTTTTTCTTTAAAAAATTCCATAAGAGCAGTATAGAAAGTACCAAAAACTTAAAAAAAAAACATAGCTATAAAATCTGTGGTCATGAGACGTGACCAAGAATATAAAGATTTATTTTTATAAATTTAGAGTAATTCATTTATTAATACATTAGTGGTTCAGAATATGTAATCATTTTTTCCACATTCTGCACAAAATATAGGCTTTGTTGACCAATTCCGTTTCTTTTGTGGTTGCCTCACAGCCCAAAGTTAAGGTCATGTAACCCAAATTCTCACTCTACTGTTTAAGGAGTAAACCTCAGATTGCAGAACAAACGGCAGATGAAGCTCACTGTACACGCAATGCGTGGCACCAAAGCAAATATAAAGTCAAAAGTACATTTATGAACAGTTTTTACAACGTTTCAATACGGCGCGGCGGCAGTTTTGATAAAAACATAATATTCACAGGACAGGTATTCACAAAACGATGCTCTGTAGAGTAGGTACTGACGTGAACTGATATTCACTTTTGATTTCGCATTTGCTATCGTGCCACGCATTGCGTGTGCCTTCCGTTCCATCTGCCTATTGTTCTGTAATCTAAGGAGTAAACAATCAAATTCATAATTTGTATGCAATTTTTATAAATTAACGTTTATAAAAAAAATGGTAAATAAGTTTTTCTAAAGTAAGTCCAAGTCTTGGAGGTAGTCAGAAATAACGTATGTCTTAAATAGAACTGTCATAAGTTGAACATCTGTGCAATTTCAATGCTTACCTCTTTCCGTATTAAGTTAGGAAATGACTCCGTGAGATAGGTCACTTCGCGTCGAACCAATTTCAATGTTCGCTCCCTCTCCTTCATGTTGGCCTTGATCTCTTTCTCTAGTTTATTAAATTCAAACTTCCTATCATCCAGATACTCCATAGCAAGCTGGCCCATCTCCGTAGCGCCCATCAGACATTTACCTTGCGCTCGGCAATCCAACTTCAGGGCTTCCAACACTACAGAAAAATACGACGAGTCCTAAAAGCAATTAAGCAGAATAATGTAATCTATTTTCTCTATTGTTTTTGTGAATCACTAGCTGCCTCCTGCAACTTCGTCCCCGTGAACTTAAGTTTTGCGTCATTATCTCATTTATTTTCCGTAAGAACCACAGAAATAGTAGATATCTTAATTTTCTAATACTTTGTAGAAGCAAAGTGTAATAAAATTTAAATAAAGACAGTAAAGTCGACCTCCAAAATAATCCGCTTTGGCCCCAATCCGCAATGGGCCGAAACCGCACTGGGCGCAGCTGATTGGTGGGTAGCGTACTTTTTTATGAAATAATAAAATATAATGGGAGATTGGGCCATGAATGAATCGCCACGCAGGCCTAGTGCGAATTGGTGGGTGGTATATAAATATTTTTAGCTTCCTTTAAACTGAGTATTCCACGCCACTCACGCCAGTTTTTTATTATTCCCCATTAAAAAGACATACAACCTTAAATATTTACCCTTCTACCTCCAACTCCTATTTCTATGGTAGTACGAAGTTCCCTGGGTCAGCTAAATATGTAAAGAATCTTAAAATATATAATTTATGCGTCATTGTTTGTCCGGGAATGACTCCTAAACTACATAACCGATTTTAATCAAATCTGTACACCGTGTGCAGTTTCATCCAACTTGAAAGATAGGATAAGCTTACAGTCGCAATATTATTTTATTGCAAATAATTACTTTTGGGCGGCACGAAGTTCGTCGAGTCAGCTATATACTAGTTTAATTATTTTTTTTCTTTGTACAATTGTATATTTTGTACCTTACACTCTATTATCTATTTAAGAAAAGACAACAGACAGAATTATAGGCTAATATTCAGTCACAATTATTTCCGGAATCACCTTATATCCAATCTATAGCAAAAGCCGGACCGGTCTACTTACTAACAAAATTATTATTTTTTAACCACTTTCAAATAAATACGAAAACCATAAGTAAGTTCTTGAATGTTAAACATCACAGGCTACCCGTTTGAAATAATACAAGGACTCGTTTTATCTCAATTTAATGATTTATGTCAGTTTCCCAGATTGAATTTTAAACGATAGGTTATTACGCCGTCGGCCACTAAATTATTCAGCTGATCTACGTAGCTCCCAGTTTATTTCAAGCCGTTACTTGCAGCAATTTCAAGCTTTAGGGCATATTATGTTTTGTTTAAATAATGATGATACATATCTGCTTATTTACTCCCCTACTGGTGTTCTGCTCCTGCTTCGTACATGTGGAATGTACAACTCAATGGAGTTACAAAGATAATGAATACTGTGATTTCAATACAAATTTGTTAGTGATTATTATTTTAAGATTCTCATTCAAACAAACCTTTTCTTCCACTTCGAACACAAGTAATTATTTATTAATGAAGGTTTGCATAAAACAATGCTTATTTTTGTAACATTAATTAAAGTTTATTTAGTATATTGAATACCAAACGAAAAGTTCACTACTACTTGATTAGAATGTTTTTAAATCTTGACATCTATGCTAATTATTAGGCCTTACATATTTTTTTATATATCAAAAGGGTGGCAAATAAGCTTTTGGCCCGCCTGATGGGTAAGCGGTCACCATAGCTTATAGACGCTTGCGATACTTACCAAAAATAACACTCGCACCGTTGCCTACCCTGACCCGATCCCCTATCCCGCGAAGCCCTGAAACCAGTATTGCCAGGTCTCCAGATTTTACAGGAGATCTCCTGTGTTTCTGAAATTTCTCCTGTTTGTACATGGATCTCGTGTTTTCCTTAAAATACGATTTTCTGTTTTAAATTGCATGTTGAGTTGTATTTTCCGCCATTAATAATGTAGGTAACCTTAATCAGCATCTACTGTTTTTCTTGTAGCTCTTGCCTTACATCTAAACGGCACTGCCTGGAAACTTACTCAGTGACACACAACACCGACCAAAGTGTTATTTTACTGTGACTTTCTGTAAGGTCCCCGAGGTAAGGTAAGTAACCTTACCTTGGGGACTTTACAGAACCAGACGGGCGCGCTCCCATTCGAACGTTAACCTCTTCAAATATTTTCTTCACAAGGATATTTTTTCGTACCCGTTTTAACAACGGTTGTTTATTAATATAGATACATAAATGTTAACAGCCGTTGTCATCATTGACTTTCCCTGTTTTTTAGGAAATTCGAATATGACTATGTGTTCCAATCATGTAGCAATCAATAATTTAGATTTTTTGACTAGCCTTTTCCCAACCGGTCGTCAAAGTCAGGGATGACATCTATTTCCATTAATACCTATCTAAGTACTGGTATCGTAACATGACATGGTATTGCACAAGTATTACGAGATAATCCAGAATGATTAACGTTTCCACGTTAAGCTTTCCGAAATGAACGCCGAATAAGTAAAGCAATTTTAAATTGACAACCAATTTTAGTATTTTCGTGAAAGTTATTAATGGACCGCGCTTAACACCAGAGTCATTTCTAGTAAGGGAAATAATAGTCACGTAATATGGAAAAAATCTACTATTTTTTCTGCATGCTTGTCCAATTTTGGCCCAATCTCCCTATTCCATCCATCCATAGAAGGCCTGTGGCCTGAAGGGAATCCCAGCAATGAGGACAATAATAGGCTTATGATGATTGTCTAATTTTTGTCCGATGCTTAGTAGTTCGTAGATATAATTATGAAAACATGTATTGTGACTATTACCTAAACTTATAGTTACAGGAAACTTTAGTGGATATATTTAATATTAGAAGCGCGAATATAAGAGAGCAATAAGAGCCATGTTTGCAGAGCAATTGTAATTATATCCTCAACTTGGAAGAGGTTTGGCTATTACCAGAATGAAAGAAAATTTTACAGAAAACGTATTCAGCTTTTTCTTCTTTGTTCTCACTACAATTCTAGAATCTTCAAGAATAACAAAGGTCAGAGTCCATATGCAGTTCCGTACCATCATACAAAGTTAATCGTTTCAGTGCTAATTGCATTGCCATACACCCCTTGCGATTTCCGGCGTAACCCTTTGGGTATGGAACCCTAGAATATACCCTAGAATTGATAAATACGAAACAAAATATTTGAACGACGCTAATTTGTTTCATTTTTTACTTAAACTTGGTATGTACATTATAAAGCTATCACAAAATTGTTTTTTTAACTTGGCGTACACGACACCAAAGCGGTAGATAAACAATTTCTATTTTCCGCATTACATCAGTATCTAATGGACCAGTGTCCAAGACACTGGTCCATTCCAAGATAAGACATAAGTAACTCATTTACTTTAAAGAATAGTAAATGAGTTACTTATGCCTTATCTCCATTTATAATCAAGGAATAAGTTTAAGACTAGTTACGCCGTATTTTGTTCATGTCATTCAAATGCCATTTGTCATTGAATGAACAGAGACAAAACATGGAGTAACTAATCCTAGCTTATTCTTCGTTTATTAATAAGGGGTTAGGTGATTAAGGACTACTACTAAAAATCTGACAAAATATGAAGTTCACATCTATTCATGAGGTCTTTAAAAATTAACGTGACAGCAACAGCACAGGAAGATAAGTATTAAAAGACTCGTGTCACAAAAACTATGGGTTTCGTCTACCTCATATTTTAGCAGCTTTAGAATCTTTATTTCGCTGCTCCTTCCACAAAATGATTGTTTACGGTGACTAATTATTTATATACAGACGTATACAACGGCATTTTGTTAGTGCTAGGGTACTAATAGGGTAAATGAAGAATTACATTGCCTTCATGGTGAGGGAATAACGAGAAGACTACCACTATAATGTACTATGAGTGTTTATCGTATGAATAAGTGCGTAGGTATAATAGGGATGATGACTAACATTATTTTCTTCGTCTATCAAGTAGATTATCAAAAAGTATTTTGACAAGAAAGGTTTTTTTTCATTTTTCCACATTATCAAAACATTACACAGAAAATTTTAATTGAAGTAACGCATAAAGTCACGTCATGGTACAATTTTAGAAATCACAAAAAAATATGCGCTTTATCTTTGTTATTTCTTGGTTGATTGGCAAAAGGAAAAAATTAAATGTCTATTATTTTTTAATAATCTACCTTCAGTTAGATTTAACAAAATTTCGTATAGCTAACCCCGTCATAATCCTTCAATAAGGAAACATGATTTGTGACTATCAAGTACCTACTTAAACTTAGAATATCAAGCCACTCAAAAAGTTTAGCGAAAAAAAGTTTTTATGCATAAGACACTGTAATTATTTTGAATAAAATAGATCTGCATCGAGAAAATTTTCGTGCTATGATTTTTTACGATTTTAAATGTAGCTTCAAACCTGATAAGTCATTTGATCGATTTCGAACTGCTTTTATGGATGAATGACCTTCAAAAGCAACCATCTACCGCTGATGTAGCGAGTTCAAACGCGGTCGTCTTACTTTGGGGGATGAACAAAGGAGTGGTCGTCCTACGATGGCTGTCACCGAAGAAAGTGTGCTGGCAGTTAAAAATTTAATTCAAGTAAACAGACGAATTACGTACGAAGAGATACAGCATACTCTGCAGATTGGTTCAGAAAGTGTTCACAAGATTTTGCACGAGCACCTTTGCGTAAGGATTATAGTTTCCTGCTGAGTACCGCACAACCTCACCGAAGCTCAGAAGCAGGCCCGGATTGGTGCAGTGATATGATACAAAAATTTGATGCAGGCTCTTCACGGCGCGTTTGCGATATTGTGACAGGTGACGAATCCTGGACTTATCAACACGATCCAGAAACAAAGCGTCAGTCGGCAGTTTGGCTGTTTCAAAATGAACCAACATCTACGAAAGTGAAGCGATCGAGGAGCGCAGGGAAAATTTTGATCGCTAGTTTCTTCACTTTGACGGGGTGCCTAATTTCAATTCCACTTTGTGACCAAAGCAGCATTAACGCCGAATGGTATAGCGCAAAATACTTGCCAGAAGTTTTTTCTGCAATGAGCAACAAGCGACCTAACACCGGGC